TGCCCCGTCTCGCCAAATTCGCCCTACCCTAGTAAATACCGCTTGGGTGGTCGCAATATGCTATTAGACTACTTAGAGAACATATGATCTGTTGAATTCTTTAGGCTGTTTTACGATCTACGGAAAGAGTTGGTGCTAGCACTGCCGAACAGGTGAATGCTTTCCATTCAGTGCATCGCTCTTTGTGAACCTCTTATCAAATGATTGAGAGACACAATTTTTGTAATCGTCAACATAAAATTATTGAGAATGAAGACTTTAAAAAGAATATAGAAAGTGAATGCGAAGCGAAGCACCCCACGCTTTTTTTACAATAAAATATATTTTATACTATTTTCAATTTAAATTTATTAAAATTTATTTTCTATTTTTTAGTTGAATTTTATATAAAGCGTGTTTTTTTGTTTTTTTCAACTTTTTTTTTAATAATTAATTTATTACTGGTGGCCCGGCGGCCTTTCCAGTTTCACCAGGACATGTGGGTGAGCACGAGCTCAGCCAGGAGGGGTGGGATTTGCTGCTAACAGCTGCCCGAGAGCCTCGAAGGAGATCTAACAGCTTAAAAGCAGCTGCTTCGCGAATTAATTCTACTATCAGATCGTAATCGCGACCCGCTGAGAAGATCCGGCGAGAAATTCAGCAGACTGATGCATGAGTTAGATTGCACGTCGAACTCTTTGTCGAGTTCGACAAGCACGGTTACCGCGGTCCCAAAGCCTGCTCTCAGTGTTAGAGCTAAAGAGGCGTCTAATGCAAGAGTTATTGGCTCTGATAGATCTGTAAGGACGTATCTAGGGCGTCGACGGTGACTGGCTCCTGCGTGGGCAGGATTTGGGGAGTAGTCAGTGGTGGCAACGATAAAGCGATTATCATGACACATAGGCTTATGGAAGTGCCGTTCTGACACTAACTTCATGTGTTTGCGAATTGATTCGAGGCACAAGTCGTCGTGCAGGTCGATGTTCCTCACGAACTACGGGGCTCCAACGTCTAAGCTGCAAAAGCGGGATGGTAAGAATTGGAGGGCGTCTATGTGTGTGCGGGCCCCGTGAGCGAACACAACACTCGCGTAAGTCATGACGAGCCTAACGCAAGCTTTGTAAAGTCTCACCTTGTTCCAAAGGGACATTTTACTCCGCTTACAGGTCATCATAGGATAGAGAGAGATACTACATATTTCCGAAGCGCAAAGATATGTCTTTATCTCAGTAACCTGTAGGTACCTCTTTTTTGGATTAACTATTATTATTATATTATTTATATTATTTATATAACTATATTATTTGAAGCCGAAAAAGTCTAAAGGGCAAAGAAATTTTAAAGTAGCACCATATCGTTGATTTTATCTGAAAAACTTTAAATATTGTAATTTGAATCAATCAAATCAAATCAAAATAAATGAAAATAGTTTCTTTAACGCATGTGCTTTTCTTTCGTAATGAAAAATGCTAAGTACTTTATCAAGTTCTAAAATAAATAATGTAAATACATTAGGTACATACTTTTCGTAAAAAGCAAATATCAAACGCTTTGGTTGCTTACATTCGATTTGTGAGTTAAAAAAAAAAGGTATCTGTCCTTACTTAGTTACATGATAAATACATTTTCACTGAATTCAGTAATGTGATTTAAAATCTAATTCAGGTCAACCTTGCACCTGTGACCGCCATTCGGTTATTACCCTGACATCAAAAGCTACTTTATTATTGCCAATACTATAAAAGCTGATTGAAATCAGTAACAGGCATCATTTAGCAATCGTTACCCAATACAACCTGGACAATTGGACAGGATGAGAGCTGTCGTCGTAATCTGTCTTTTGGCGGTAGTTGCAGTAGCACACGCAAGGAATTCAAGGTACAAAAGAGATGCCGATTTAGAATCTGCAGCCTCTCATCATTGGGAGAAAGGTGGTGGAGACGAACATCATGGAGACCATCATCAGGAAGACGGTGATCATGACGAAAAAGGATACAAAGGATTCCATGAACATGAACATGGAAAGAAAGGACACTCAGATCACGAAGGCCATAAAGGATATTATGGAGAACATGGAAGACACAAAAAGGACCATAATCATGACGACGGATACTACGATGAACATAATCACGGCGAGAAAGGTGAAAAGGGCCATAGCTTCGAAGAAAAGGGCCACTTTCATAAAGGTCACGATACCAAGGGCCATCATGGAATCCACAAAATAGATGAGTTCAAGAAAGACAAGCACTTCCATGACAAACACGGTGAATCTGGTTTTGAAGAAGAATATGGTGGACACCATCATGAAGGAGGATACAAAAAGGGAGGTCACTTCCATAAAGGTCATGATCTAGGTGGCTTCCACGAACACGAGCATGGTGAGAAAGGACATCACGAAAAGGGAGGACACCACCACGATCACAAAGGTCACCACGACGAAGGTGGACACGATGAACACTGGGACCACCACAGCGACCATGGTAGCAAAGGAGGTCACGAAGATAACAAGGGCTGGGGATGGAAAAAAGGACATAAATGAAATCAACAGCTTAAAACGTGATATGATTGACCATTTATATTTATGAAGTTTTTTTTTGTTTTTGTTAATGATTTGTAATACGTAAATAAACTGTTTTATTGCTCTTGTAACATCTTTATTTATTTTGATTATTGAACAATATCTATATTGATTCCATTAGTAAAAGATAAGCATATACTAAAAATGATATTACAAACTACCTCGTTTTTCTACATTAGATAAACATTATACTCGTACATAATATAATGTCATTTTAATGAAAAGTAAGAAAATATTTACACCGTAACTTTTTCGAATATATTTTTCCTAAAATTAGATCGTCACTGAGCCGACAGCTTTAAAAATGGCTGCATAACGTTAATGTGCTTAAATAAAAATATGACAAGTTTATCTCCAATGCATTTCTTAAATATATTTCTGTGATATTTCACACAAAAGATGTATATGACCATGTTATCTGTCAACTGACATCAAAATGAACAAAGAGAAAAGATAATGACTACATTCAAGTTTATTAACTTTTAACTTTTTATTCCACATGTACAAAGTCAAAACATAGGTATTATATTTATTAATTGCATACGTATTGCGTATTTCATTCATCTGAATCTTGGTAAAAGTTTATCATAATTGAACGGTACAAGATCAAAAAACATTAATAACTGCGGTGTACAATAGGCCTGCGGAAACGTGAAAAGAGATGGACGCCTGTAATATATTGGCAACGCGGATGAAAGAGCAATCGAGACAATAATGAGCATCATTACTCTTCTGCCTTATCTTACTTATTTGGCCATCAATCTGTTCGCTAAACTCACAACTTACTACAAAGATACGAGATAGGTTTTTGTTCGAACGGAATTTGGACGAACGGTTCGAAATTTTGAAAACTTTAGTTTGAATATCTGTATCTAAGTATTACTAACAAGTTTCAAATTTATACTCTCGTAATGAGTCTGGAACAAGAGCGACTAAATCCAATTCTAGCATTTCCATTTTTGCTAAAATAGGTTCCGATTTAGGCGAACACAAGGAATTTATCAAAAAACGCTAATTTATGTGCTCACTACTGACCATTAAAGGTTTTAGAGACTGCGGAAATGCTAATAACGAGACAACTGATTTGAAAAGTAATTTTAATTAGCAATTATTGCTTCTAAAAATTTGAGAGTCATCAACAGAACGAAGCGATAGGTACTTTATACCTGGACAGGCCTCGCATGGAATGCTGTTCTCATCTTTGGGCTGAGGCTCCTAAATATAAGCTACTTCCGTTTTAATCTATATTGGAAAAAAAAGGAGAGTGCCACTCTCGATTGTCGATAATCCCGTTCTCACGGATCGCTTGGAACCTCTGGTCTACGGCGTATATGAAATGCGAAATACTTTGAAAAATCGAGATGGTCTCTCCATCTCCTTTTTGCCATCGTGCCTTTGAGCACCCGAGCAAAGTTCATTCAGACTATCTGGATTCGCAGCGTTCGTGGACAGTACCTGTCTGACAGGCTGTCTATAAAGGACATAAAAATATAGTATTTAATAATTACATTTCTAAAACAAGTATTTTAGACAAAGGCAAGTTTTTAATGATGGCAGGGCGTATTGTAAGCCCACAGAGGCTAACCCAAACTAGCAATTCCTGCCACGAAGCAGTGACGTATTCCGGTTGGAAGGGTGAAATAGCCATTATGCATATAATACAATTGAGACTTCGGCGTCTTACGGTGAGAGGCAGCAACCCCGTTGAGATGACTATGGGCTCCGATAACCACTTCACACCTAATGGGACGAGAGCTCAATCAATAACATATTTATAAATGAACATATAACACAAAGAAATGCACAAACGAACATAAAAATCACTGAAAATAATTTGAGGATATCGTTGTATCGTTATTTTTACCCGTACTTAAAAATGAATTCTGTTGTTTAAGTTTTTGCATAAAATATCAAATAACGTAGTTACCAAAAAACATTCCGGGTATTGTTTTCATCATTTCAGCCTATCGCCATCCACTGCTGAACATAGGCCTCTCCAATAGATTTCCAGTGCGACCGGTCCATTGCCACCTGCATCCAACGAGACCCAGCGCTTTTTACTAGGGTATTGTTTTCACTCTCAGTTATTACTTTTAACTGTTTAAATAATTTTACTTTAAAATACGAAGTATTCATATGAAAATAATTATATTAAATAAAACCTGATGGGAGCATGTCTTATTTTTAATATTCTTGCACTATATATCTGAACAGAAATTTCGAAAAAATAAGTAAAACAAAACGGAAATAGTTTGAGTTCTAACTAAAATAAATCACGTTTGTTTAAAATTGGAAATGTTCCAACGTGTACAAAAGTGGAAGGAAGTGGAAATCTCCGGCGTTCAGTACGAATAACCTTGAGTCACTCGAACATTGACTTACCTAACCGCTGCAACTTTTAGTATATAAAATCATTGCCACCGATGAAATTAACATTCAGCAACTGAAACAGCTCAACCAACCATGAGAAGCAGCCTGCTTGTGGCACTTGGCCTTATGGCCTTAGCAGCCGTTGTCTCCGCTAGGGAGATTAGGGAGAAGAGGGATGCTGACCTCGAAACTGCTGCTTCAGGCCATCACTGGGACAAAGGAGGTGGCCACGAGCACCACGGGCACCACCATCACGACCACGGCGACCATGGCCACAAGGATCACAAGGGACATCACGAGCACCACCATGGCAAACATGGACATCACCACCACGAAGGCCACAAAGGACACCACGGAGAGCATGGCGGTCACAAGAAGCATCATCACCATGATGACGGCTACCATCATCACCACCATCATGGCGAGAAAGGCGACCATGGACACGGACATGAAGAGCACGGCCACTGGCACAAAGGACACGACACGAAGGGACACCACGGAATCGAAAAACACGATGAATTCAAAAAGGACAAACACTTCCATGACCACCATGGTGAGAAAGGATTCCATGAACACCATGGCGGTCATCACCACGAAGACGGCTACAAGAAGGGTGGTCACTTCCACAAGGGACACAAGCACGGCGGCCATCATGAACATCACCACGGCAAGAAGGGTCATCATGAGGATGGTGGTCATCACCACGATCATAAAGGGCACCATGGCGAGGGTGGACACCACGAGCACTGGCACCACCATCACGATCATGGCAAGAAGGGCGGTCACGAGGACCACAAGCACTGGGGACACAAGAAGGGTCATTAATCTGAGGCTAGCTGGTTCTAGTCGAATCTTGTTATTTGTTGACTTATTACAAACATGTTTATTTGTTATGTTTTTACAGGAAAAAAATATATTTTATAGAAAATGATATTTTGTTTTGTTTTTTTTTTTACTCATTAACAATTAATACTCTCAAACACATTTTTTTTTGGTTTTGCACTCATACCATAGCCACAGCAAATTCATTTTAAAATAGCCAATTAATTTACACTCAAACATTTATAATCCCAAATCATGATCTCTCAATTCATCGACAACTTGAAACGAAATTTACTCAGTTTTGTTATAAAAATATATTTAAAGCATAAATATTTTAAGTCACTGAGAATTGTTAGATCGATCTCTCCAGAAGTATTTATACTCCTGGTCGCCGATAATAACGATCGACAGATAATCTATAGTACCTAACTAACTCTTCAGCTTTATATAATAATATTAGTATAGATTCTATACTAGTAATTATATCAAGCTGAAGAGTTTGTTTGTTTGTTTGAAGGCGCTAATATCAGGAACTACCGGTCCGATTTAAAAAAATCTTTCAGTGTCAGATAGCTCATTTATTGAGGAAGGCTATATAACAACACGCTAAGACCAATGCAAGCGGAGCACCAATAAAGAATGTTTCAAAATCGGGGTATTTTTCCCTTTTGAGAGGTTCCGCTGCGTGCGCTGCGGAAATGGTTAAAGTTACGCTAAAATAATGTATGACAAAATTGTTCCCCTTTAAAAGTTAAAAAAAAAGTCCGCGACAGCATATGTCTATATTTAAAGGTTGGCTCACTATAACGTTTTTATGCTAACCAAATTTGTTCTAAAATAAAGCATTATTTGTGAAGGTGTTTTTATAAAGATGATATTAATCCCTATCCAAATAAAAACGTTACTCATTACAACATTGAAACACCCAAATCACTTCAAGATAGGCTTTGACAATTATAGATTTTTCTGGATTTCTCCAGGATCCCATCATCAAATCTTAATGGTTACAGGACCATTCGAGAAGTCTACCCTTTCGAACAAAAAAAAGAAAAAAGAATTATCAGAATCGGTTGAAGCATTCTCGAGAAATCGGTGAACATACATCGATACAAAATTATGGTCGAATTGATAGCAACCTCTTTTGAAGTCGGTTAAAAAGCGTGATTTTGGTACCTTAAATAGCTCCTTAACATTCTCTGTTATTCAAAAATATTTTCACTTTCTACGTAAATGAAGAGGCTGGTAAAATTTTGCGTTATGCCAAAGTAACTGGTCCACGCGGACGAAGTCCCGGACAAAAGCTAGCTCATTAATATTCGAGTTTTTATAGTTTTTATTCATTCCAAAAAAAACAAGCATAATTAATATTGCGTTATCAATTATGCCAAAAATATTACCAATACACAAAGCAAACATGAATTTCAATCTATGTTTGACTATGAGTTTGGTTCACAACATATTTCCGATTAGAGGGACGATAAACTGGATGGAAATGTCGTCTTTCTGCGCAAGCAACAATTCAAATAGACCTAATTTTTTTCTAACTTCCGGTCGTTTGATGTATTTTTATTTCGTGTCTTATTAGGGTATCTAGTGTTAAATGTTTTTTCGAACCTATAGGCACGACAACATGAATGCCACCACGAGACCCAAATAAACACATAACACGAATAAAGTCTAATAAATAGATCATAATATGATAGCTTCTGACCAAAAGTAAGCAAGCAATAAGACGGAAAGGTCCAAACATCAAATCTAACGTTTTCTAAGATTACATTCTCGCTAATCCCATTTACCATCTAATAAAGTACTTTATATTGATAAGCTATATTATGCTACTGCCTATATAAATTTATATGTAGCTTATACTAAATTAATGGAAAATTTAATTAATTTTTTATTACATTGACTGGTAAACAAGCTCACGGCCTACTTGGTGCTCGCTCAGTGATTATCCTGTCACTTTGGACATGAGATAGAAGTTTCAATTGTAGTATATCGGCTTTCCTATATTTCAAACAGGAACGGGTGACTGCTTCCAGGCAGAAAAAGGCAGAATTTTGTTGTACATGAAGTGACACCTGCCTGCAGTACGATCCGTAACATAAATTTTGAGTTTAAAACAATGAACAGGTCACATAGACGCTTGAAATTATTCTGGGTTATATTATTACACTATATTTTATAATAAATAACCTAAATAACAAAGAAACTTTGCACATTGAACAAGAAGATATTATATATTTTTGTGTAATGGGAGCCGGAAACTCATTTTAACCAAGAACAAGTCCGCCAATATTTAGTCTGAAAATATCAAACATCTGTCATAAAAACACTGACTTCAACTTGAAATACAACCTACACTCAGCAGTATAGAACTCAGGATCACGAACCGCTCAATCAACGAGGAGATAAAAATATATCCATTCTAATCTTATAATACTAAAATTTGTATGGTTAGATTATGTTAGTCGATCGTGTCAAACTACGAACGGGTTGTAATAAAATCGTACACAAAAATTACTAATTAGCTGGATTATCACCTAGGATACTTTTTATCATGTAAAGTATTTTTCTCACGCTACATCGAGCACATCTGCTAGTAAATACAACATGTAAAACGTAGGAATAAAATACATTATGTAAAGTATAAATATCAAATGCTATAAAATACGATTGCATTCGCTCCTTTCATAATTTTATGTACTAACGGATCTACAAATCATTTGGTGGACAAGACATTGAAACAAGAGACTCTTTATCGTAAGAAAATACGTATTTCATTATTTCAGTGCTGTTTATATACAGGGTGTCCAGTAAATAGCACGAGATACTCCCGGGGGTGGTAGCTTGGGTCAATACCTACCAAAACAACACAATATAATTGTTCAGCAAAATCTTACGGATTTACAGAAATGTTTCCGAAATATCGAAAAATCTCTCTCTCTACCTTGAAACAGATTTTTAAGCATCTCGTAATTAAAAATTCCTTTTACCTACTAGTATTTTTTTTACATCAAATTATTCGTGAATAATTACTTTACTCATTGATAAGTCTTTTTAATATCAAAAACAAGAATGTTTTTAAGAAATAATATTATTTATTTAAATTTTCACAGAACGATTTTCTTTTCGCGTTTACTTACTAACTTTAACCTAGAGTGCAGAAAGCCAAGCCATTTAGGCATAACTTGGGACATAAGTTCCAAGTCTCAGTTTTACATTCCAACGGCTGCCCACTTTTGAAACCGAAATGCATTACTGTTTCACGGCAGAAATAGGAACCATGGAAGAAATAGCTACCCACCCGTACGGACGTGGTTGGCGCATTTACGTTGTAGATGTCTATGAGCCCCAGTAACCACTTAACACCATGTGGGCTGTGAGGTCGTTCACACTTCTAAGAAAAAAAAGAAAAAAAAACTGGCTCACAAGACGATCTTTTTTCTTTTTTAACGCTGGGGATTCCATTTACATATACCCGGTCGAGGGGGGTAACGGACCGGACCCTCCAGAGAGGTAGAGGGAGACGAGGAGGGCCAAAGCCCTCCACCTCCCTCAATTCCTCGCAGGAGACTACGCCTTGAAACAGGCGCGCGGGGCGCTCGCCCCGCAAAACTAACTACCGACTAAACCCCATCGAGCTCCACCACACCAGCTACACCAAACTGCAGTGCGCGCCGAGAGTCCGCCTTCGCCGGTACCCGTCCTAATGATACGACGGGATTTCATCTTCGGGAATACCCCGAAAGACTCGGGAGACACACCGTGGGCGGCGCACAGGAACCACCTTCAACCGCGTCATCACCGGACCGGCAATCGGGTACCGGGCGCCCCCGTACCCGGTATCCGACAGCCCCTACGGGAGCTGAGTGGAAGCTCCACACCCGCGCCGCCTACCCCGCCATTTGCGCTGAGGAGCCAAAGAGGGATCCCACTCCCTTTCGCGGTCCTCAACCTCACGGAACACCATGACCAGGTCACAAAACCCGGCCATGAACTCCCACGAATTCTGGTCCTCTAAAATGCGGGCAACGACAGCCCGGCAAGGAGAGGTCCCTCCCCAGCACCGCGATAAGATCTCGTTACAAGAAGCCCTACTATTAGTAATTACGCAAATTTTAATTTTCAGCTTTTAATAATGCTATGATGTAACGAGGCCCTAAATGCCTCCAAAATTATGAGGGTACGAGAGCCAAAAGATCCTCCTCCTCTGAATAGGCGGCACTGAAACATGTTAGCGGTGACTTTGATCCTCTCTGTGTTTTTCCACAGCTATTGGCTAAAAGTACCATTAAGAAATGGTACCTAACGTCAAGTTTTACATGCTCGGTTCCATAGAAATTATACACTATTTTACGACACCATTGGAAAATACTGATTTACCAAAAAAAAAATTTATACACCTAGAATAGACCAGATCAATCTCAATCAATTACAGCGATAAAGCGGTCAGCAGCGATAAAGCATTGTTGTACTAGCTTTCATTTTTTTTTAAATAATATTTTAAAAAAGTATATTTGTTCTGTTCTATTATTTTTTATTTATCAGAAATGCTTAGAAATGTAATTAAATATAATAAAACGAAGCCAGAATCTTTTCTAAGCACATTGGCCAGTAACCTTGACAGAAGTCGAGAAGTGCAAGAACCCTACTGCAACTATTGCTCAATGCTGGTGCCGAGAAATTCAGTCACTTCTATAAAACGTAGTCGTTAACAATAACACCTACCATAGCACATTGTACAACAGAGCCGTAAACAATTACAATGAATTCGGCTCTACTCCTGAGCTGTGGTGTCCTCGTCGCGCTTATAGCACTGACACAAACTCGCGATTTGCGAGAAAAGCGCGACGCTGATCTTGAATCCGCCGCGTCTCATCATCACGAAAAGGGTGGAGGCAAAGATTTCCATGCCCATCATCATCACGGCCACGGTAGCAAAGGACACAAGGGTTACAAAGGGCATCATCACCACGAACATGGCAAAAAGGGACATCATCACCACGACGGCCACAAAGGCCACCACGACGACCACGGGGGACACAAGAAGCATCACCACCACGATGAAGG